ACACAATTTCTTTTATTATATTCGTACCTGGTGTGGAGAAAGAAAATACTCATTCTGTTTATAAAGCTGCTCAAACAAAGCGTAATTGGTTATATTCTTTTCATCAACTCCCAACTTCGAATCTAAGAGATATTTATAGAGAATTCAAATTTATATTCGGGCATTCCAATTATATTGAGCATTTAAATTTACCATGATCAAACAAGTCAGCACACAAGTACTCATCAGATTTAATGGAACTTTTCGAAGAATTAGTTAATAAAAGTTTAAACTCAATCAAGCTGAGCCCATTATTAGAGAAGTTAACATTATCGTCGTTTGTGTAAAACTCCACTGTGTACATGTATTCATTTGATTCTAGATTATATTTATCGACAAATAGGTTAGTTGAACAATTGGAGTTTGATCCGGCTTCTAGAATCATTGCAAAAGAAAAAATTTATAAAGTTATGATAACATGAATAGTAGTAACCTTTAGACAACTAACACGTAATATAATAGATTACTCACCGTTCCCATATGTCACATAGAAGGTACAATCTACTTCAAATTCAAAAGGGCCAAAAAACAGGATACCTATAATAAAAGTTATTATAGATCCATTCTTGATATTAAAAATACGTAGATACATGTGCATCAAGAGAAAAAATAAAAATTATCTTTTCTTACGTGGCGGTTTAATTTCTGACTTATAGTCGGAGGTAATAATTTGCAATGGTTTATCGTTTACTAGTTTAATAAACAATGTAACTAAATAGCCAAACAATCCTAAATAAACCAGCCATAAAAATATTTCTTTGATAACTTTTATTATGGTTGGCTCTGTCTTGCGCCACGCAACTTTATCATCAATAGCTTTCTTTAAGGGGTTTAAGCAGCTAAGCATTATTGGATAGTGAGTTGCTAAAAGGATGAAATAATGAGAGGATTTTTAATACGTAAATTCTAAAGATCTTTTTTTATAGAACTTTTATTTTTCTGCTGCTTACTTTATTATCTTTTTGCGTATATTTTCTGTGCGTACATGAAATAATAATTTCCTTTTCATTATTTCACGTTCAAGTGATACAGTTCAATTGGTAGTAACTTGTATTCTCTTGTTTCTTTCTTTCCATCTCTCTGAAGTACATGTACATGTATAAAGCAGCGAGAATTTTTAATATCGATATAGCAATCAGAATTGACTGCATTTGTTTGTTTCACAAACACGCCCTGCATTCTCGTTCTGAACAATTTTATACGTACGTACGTACATGTATTATACGTATTTAACGTACAAGCACGGGAATCGCGACAAATTCAGCATGCATAAATAATTTTTTAGCACGCATTAGTACGGGCTGAAAAATTCGTGCCATCTCTGTGTTAAAAAACTATGCCTGAAACGTGGCTATGAAATTTGTCCTGTTTCTCGTGCTTGTTGCCGGGGCTGAACTATTCCTTGGAATTTTGGTGAATTAATAATATATCGATATAATATATTAAGCCTTTTTTGAAGAGTGTTACAAACTTTCTCCTGTCATTATACGCAGTCAATCGAGTTTGGACCGGTTTAATTTTTCTTATCGCTATTATAAAACCGGTTTTAGATACACAATATTAAAATAAAACCAGTTCCAAACTCTAACCGAAGTGGTAAAACTTTAAAAAATCGATTTACTGTTTTTCTATTTATCGATGGGGTTACTATAATTGTTCTAAGAACCAAATTTGGATTATGTGAGTTTTGATTACATGTAGCACATGTACCGGTACATGTGCTTCGGTTTAACGAGGTTGCTAGTGTAATAGAAAATAGCTGAATTACGTATTGTTCTCGTTAATTCAGGAATTGTTATAATTAATGAATTAATGAAGTAACATAACAGTGAAAGAACAAAGACTGAAAATTTATGATTAATGGAGTTCACTAAAGGTTCTAAAGGTCTCCGGTGGTAGCTTGTACACAAACCAACTTACTATCAAAAATAAATATAGGGGCAAAGAGGAGAATTAAAGAAAAGGATATAATAAATTAAAATAAAATAGAAAATTATTAAAGAAAATAACAGGACTTATGGAGGAGCATCCACTACTTGGAGTCAAGATTTAAAGATGATTAAGAAAATAATAGTATATTCACAAGTATAATATTACAAGTAAGACATTGTCATTTTTATTAGATCAGAGCATAAGAGTTTCTAGTGATGATAGACATTTTTTATACATTTTCAATAGTTACATGATTAATAATGATTCTAAATTATATCATTATTTACAGAAAATACTAAATAATAAAGAGAACAAAAAGATTGAAAATTAAATAAGAAATTACATAAAAGAAAATACAAGATAAAATTGATATGAATTTGAGTGATTAAAGATAAAAGAAATTATAAGAGCACAGTAAAAAGAAAAATTCTAAATAAAAATTGAATAATATAAGATAAATTTTAAGAATAACAATATTAAAGATAAAGATAAAAAGTCATCAGAAATTTAAAATACTAGCAGAATTGCGGTAAACTTCGAACCTGGTGACGAAAGGTGAAGAAAAAATATTCAGTTTAA